TATGTAAATATTGTGGTGGAAGAGTATATTAATTATTGTTTTCATGCTTTATTTATCTTTTATGACAATATTATGACAAAAATATTTCCATATAAAATAATTTGTGATGTTTATCATTCACTCACACCATTTTTGGGGGCATTTCTTTCCATGTAAAGTGTGTGTAGTCATATCCATTCATTTTTCTGCACTGCGCAGCTGTTTGCAGTCTCTCTCCAACCTGTTATTTTTTTCTTGTTTTTTTTTTTTTGTTTGTTTTGGGTTTTTCTTTTTGTCATCAAGCCAGAATAAGCCTCTGACACAGAAAATAACAGCTTTGTTGCCCTCTCTGTATGAAGCGTACAGTGACGACCTCCCACCAGAATGTAAAGTGCATCTTGTTTCTCTTTAAATGCTTGAGGATGAATCACTGGAAAAAAGAAAAAAAAAGGTGGAAGGGTTTCAGGGGCCTGTGCTATTGATTCAATTTCTATAACCACAAATACTTTAAAGCATAATAAGCCTATGCTTCAAGTCCCCATACCCTTTCAAGGCTTGAAATGGCCTTGTCGTTACCTACAAATCACAGCTCTCCGCAAAGCTGCCCTCTCTGGAGTGAAATGTCCATGACCACGGGGGACAAAAAAAAAAAACAGGGAGCAAGAGACACAAGCAAGCCCCTGAAAAATGTAATGGTTTTTGTTGAAGATTTAGCCAGTGGTATGCCGGTGTGCGCGTATCATTCATGTTCCAGACACAGCAGATCCTCTGGGGAGATGGTGAATATTAAAGGGCTTTGCAGGAGCCTTCCTCATGAAAGCTCTTGACAACAGATTTGTTTATGACCTTCAAGAAAGGAAGAGCAAGTCAATGATAGCTCTACACAACCTCTTTTGCATCTCAAGGCGGCCGCGGCTACAAAAAATAAAAGGCAGTTGTGGCTTCAGGTTCAAGTATTTGTCGTTGTCATCAGAACCGTGCGGCCCTTCTGCAAATATTCATCACATATAGGCAAGATGTCTCAGACCTGAGAACCAAAAACCTTCTGACAAATTTTTTTAAACTGATGCTCATATTCATTCAAGAATGCCACACTTTCCAATACAGTACCATAAACGGCCATGAATCAACTCAAAGCTGTCAACGTAACAGCTTTACAACAATAAATCTAAATGTAAGGACTTCTTTGAACTTATAGATGAAAGAAAAGTTTTAATTTTTTTACTAATTCAGCATGTCATTCAGCATATTGTCATGTTTTTTTAGTATGCACCCTTTAAGATATAAGCTCTAAAGAAGAGCTTTGTGTTCTCTAGGAAATAGGGCTAATTGTCAGAGCGTTTGGGGGAAAAAACAGTCAGATTTAAGCAAAATATAAACATTGTGGTTGCCTCTGACATGCTTTGCCTCTAACCAGCTGCCACTGCCTTTGTGCCAACCGAGAACGACTGTAAAGGCAACAATAGCCCTTTGAAAAGGGACAGGTTTTTTTTTTTTTTTTTTGGTACACCCTGTATTTACAGTGACAGAGCAGAAGCTCCTGAAGTCAGGAGGTCAGGAGGCAGGGGAAGGTTGTGGGATCATTTGGCTGTTTGCTTTCAAAAAATATAGTTTACTCTTGTTGGCTTCTACAAACGTACACCCTACCTTTAATGATCCTTTTTGTCTGGCAGGTAGGCCAAGACCCTGACTTTTAACAAGCTGGTTAAAGTGCTGCCTGAGCACTGAATCATTCCTGTTAATCTTCCAGCCTTGCTTGACTCTGGAGACTTTTCGTGGGTGAACTGGAGCAACTTTTATTAAAGCTACATTTAAGTAATCTGACAATGTGTGACTATGACACCACTGCTTGTGTTTAAAGAAGACCTATTATGCTCATTTTAGCTCTGAATTTTTATTGTTGGACTAGAGTAGCTTTGCACTCAGCATTCAAAATAAATCATTACTTATGTTGTGCTGGTCGTTGGTGCAGTTTATCCTTTGTGTGAAACACACATTCAGCCTTTTATCAACTTCCTTTAGATTTGCTTCCATTTGTAAACAGAAGGCCAATAAGATCATTCTTTTTGGGATTTCTTCTTTTTTTGACATAATATGGACCCAAGAGTAAAAAAAAACTGTAAAGTGATAATTCTGGCCTCATTCTTTGAAAGTTTGACCATGTTTTAATTAAACAAGCATAAGTGCATATGCATGGCTATATGTATACCACATACGTTTGGGTCATTATTATTCATCTGATTAGGCACACTGTTCTGCATATAGTTAAAGCAATGAGTCTATCTGCTTTATCTGCTTAACAGAAGTCTATGCATTTCACTGTTATTTCAGGGAACTGATAAAGAAAAGTCATTTAAAAATATTTAAAAATATTTTAATACACTGTTTTTTTCCTTTGCCGGGCACTGAAATTGTTTGTGATTCAGTAAAACCCCTGTATATGTCCCTGAAATAAAAGGAAAGACATTTAAATGTTCAATGTGAGACATCCCAGAATAGCAAAGCACAGCATAACTTTACTCCTCAGACACAGTAGTTTTTGAAAAACTCATTAAAAAGACTCCAGTAAACTATAAGCTATTTAAGTAAAATGATATGGAGTTCTGCACAAGACAGCAGTCAAGCCCAAATACAATTAGTGTGGATTTTAAATAATAATCTATTTCTGGCCAGACAAAAACTAGTTTTACTGACCAATCAATAAAGTCCATGAAGTCAATAGAGACTAATGTCCACTGCCATACAACCTATTACATGTTCCTGATCCATCTTCATTTGCAGTAAATAAGAAGAAGAAAGTCTTTCTTTGGAAATTAGTCAAGCCCTTCAACAGTTTAACTACACTTGAGGTCCCAAATAGGGACTTCTCGACAAGGAAATCAAGATTCAGGAGGTTTCTTGTTTTTCTCAGTGTAAGACAAGAGGCAGTACAAAAATAAATGCAGTTCCTTTTCTATTTGTAGCAAGGCAATCAAAAACAAAACTATAAGCTTTTAAGCTCAAACCACGTGCTACACACAACTCCACCACCCCACAAGCCCGTTAGTCTATAAAAGGAAAATGCTGTTATAAAAAAACAGCATTTGCATTTTTCTTAGCACACGGTTTCTGCGTTTCATAGCATCTAATCATTGCCATATAGCTTCTGAATGGGCTTTATAAGTGTCATTTTAGTCCATAAATGTTATTGGATAATTTTAGAGTTCCCAAATGTCCATGTTTGTGTGAAACCCACTCAGGCTTGTCTGACCAAAAGGGTTAGGCACACACACACACACACACATACATAGAAGACAGATACAGTAGAATAATGGTTGAAGAGTTTGTTCAGGCATTCTGATTTTTCCTATTGCTACCTCAACTCTCTGGGTTGGAGATTTTGCCACAGAGCAAAAAATAACAGACCATGCAATTTCTGGAAAAATGGCGGTAGGATTGCTGCTACCGCCAGGCTTGACTCTGTGGCTTGCTGCAAAAAAGTTGGTAGACTGAAAAGCTGAAGAGAGATAGCACTTGATATTAAAAACATAAATCAATAGGGGGTGTTTATTTTGAAAATCTGTACCCCCTAAAGCGGATAAATGTGTATAACTGAGGTCTGCTGTTTTCAAAATTATCTGAGTATTGTGTTCATTGTCTGAAGTTAACTGTGGCTGCTTTATTTTATTTTTTTAAATTTTACAGCAAGAACGCATCATGATAACATCCACTAAATAACTGAAGACATTTATTTAGAAAAGGTGAGACTCCTGTTCAACTCTTATACTTATCCTGGCTGTAATCAACAGCAACGCTTCCTGTGTGAAACTGTGTTTTTTTTAGTAGATTACAAAATTTTCAAGCATATTGGCTATTCATTAAGGGCTGCAATAGGTTGGCGACCTGTTTAGAGGGTACCCCTACCTCTCACCCTATGACAGATGAGATAGGCTCCAGTCCCTCCGCAACACTTAAATGGCTAAGTGGAAGAACATGGATGGATAAAATGGTCTTCTTTTGATCAACTGTGTTCTTTTATTCTGAAAATTTGACAGCCACCTGTTCCCTGCTGTTAGTCACTGCCAGGTTCCTTACTGCTAGTTGTCCATCAGTATGTGTGTGGGAAAGAAGCAGACAGGAGGCTCTTTGAATTGTGAATGACAGCTTAAATAGTCTAAAACTGCAGTATGATCTCAGCTGGAATTAGATCAATAGCTTGAAAACATTTGTTTTCTTTTCCCATAGCGTTTATAAATAACTTTAAATTGGTTAAAATGTGTCTAACACCATTTCTAGCAGATCCCTATAGTCATATTTAAGCATTTGTCCCAGACAGACAAACATTTGTCAGGAGGTAGTGCAGATTGTCCACTAATCAGAAAGTTGGTGGTTTTACCCTGGCTCCTCCATTCGGCATTTTGAAGTATCCCTGGACAAGATACTGAACCCCAAGTTGCTCTGGATGCAGCCATCAGAGAGAGAGAGAGAGAGAGAGAGAGAGAGAGAGAGAGTGTGTGTGTGTGTGTGTGTGTGTGTGTGTGTGTGTGTTATGTTTAATGTTAGGCATAGCGCTTAAAAGGATAGAATAAAAGCAGCGTGTCAAAGAAGTGCTCTGGGTGCTCAGTTATAGCAGAAAAGTGTTATATAAGTACAAGTCCATTTACCATTTAATGTAAAGAAACATGACAGTTACAAGCCAATCACGAAGAGAGGAGATTCAACTAGCCAATGAGGTGAATTAGATTCAGTTACTTCCTGAATATAAGACTATATGCCAGTTCTCTCCAGCTGTAGCAGGTAAAGTTACAATGATAATGACATTCAATGTGACTAACTGTATGTGACCAGCTCTATAAATTCTTCCGTAATGGGCTTAGCACTTCTCTCACAAAATTGCTTATAAAATCCAAACCGTAAATTCTCCAGCCCTGGGCTTCCAGGATGCACGCAAGATGTCAGTCATTTCTTTCAGGAAAAGAAAGTGTATACGAACGCTCCCCACTGCTAATATAGCTAGTGTTAACTGAAACAACTACACTCACCACTGCGTTCTTCAAAGTGGCCTTTACGGTGAAGCCCTCTGCGTTTAGCTCCGTCTTCCTCCTCATCGACATTCCCACAGCTTTTATTGGCGGAAGTCCAAATTAACGAAGGGTAATGTTGCTTCAATTACTAATTATTCTACGCGGCTCTAAAAACTTGACGCCTGTTGCGTTCTGTAGTGGTTGCTATCAACTTCTGAGACGCTTAGACCCGGTTGCCCCGGAGACGTGTGCGCCTCCTTGTTACCATAGAAACTATGGGGCGCCGCTGAAAATATGCAGATCAAAGTGTCGTGGTTAACCAGGGGCTGAATATTCACAATAATAGCTTTAGGTTTTTTTCCCTTAGTAATATATGATGTTATTAAGATAATACTGTTACAGCGACAAAGGAAACGAGGCTACTTGACCTTACTGGAAACTCAAAAATAAAATAAAAATGAGCTATTCTTAAATTACTTATTTTTAGTGTGGGTTTTTTTTTTCATGATGGACATTAGATGGCTCATTTCAAGAGCATGCAGATATATTTCTTCCATGATTAGAAAACATGCTTTTTTTTTTTTAATAAAACAGAGTTTTTCATGGTGAAGTGTTGAGGATGAATTCAGTCCTTTTGAAACATTCTTATAAAAGATACTGCTCGATAATTTTAAAGTCCTTCAGGCTCAGACATCTCTCATCCTCATTAATGCTTTTATCTGTGATGTTCTGGACCTGTTGCAGAGCCTTCGGTTGTATGGGCTTGTGATGTCTACAATTGCCATGACTTTTATTCCTCATCTATGTTAAAAACAACTAAAATAATCAGCCTTGCTTTCCTTAAGAGGTGGGGTCATGTCTGAGCTTTCTTCACCAGTGTGTAGATGGGATGGCAGCATGACTGGTTCTTTACTATTCTGAGCCTCACCTGTTCCATCTCAGCCATACTGATGCAAGCAGGGGTGTGTATCTTGTCCTCCTTTCTTCTTAGTTCATCAACCAGCCTCTCAGTTTTGCTGATGACAAGCAGTAAGTTCATCAAACGTTACTGATTTGACAAACTCTTACCGCTCTTTCTGGTTGGTGGGTTAATCCACAGTCTTCAATATAAAGGGATAATGCATAGTAAATGTGCATTGAATGGGTCAAACAACCCGCCAAAAGATCTACAATGTTGTTGATGTCAGTAAGTCAAATTGGTGTTCTCATCGCTTCTTTTTAAACTACTCTGCTGCAAATGTCAAAAAGCTGACCTGCACTCAAACAGGATGACCTGTCTTTTCTGTGCTCCTGCCACAACTCCCAGGCCACTTCAATCTCAGACACGCGGGATCGATAACACCCTCAGCTCATCATGCAGTAGACGCTCATCCAGAAGTAAATACTTAATGATGCTCTTTGTCTGGCAGGTAGACCAAAGCCCTGACTCCCAATAAGCTGGTTAGAGAGCGGCCTGAGCACTGAATCATTCCAATTTAGGGATGTGGCACTTTTAATCTTCCAATATCGTTTTTGCTTCTGGAGACTTTCTTGGGTGAACTTGTGCAACTGTTATTAATCTTCAGTGCACAGGCAATTTCTCTAAAAGCCCCTATTTGTTTTTTATGGCTCCATTGAGAGAGGAGGGTATAGCAGCAGGGAGGGAGACTGTAAACAAGGTATGCAGGGTAGGCAAGTTATGTCCCTGTCAGCATTCAATGCTGGTCTCTCCTTCTTTCTCCACACCCCCCTCACCATCTCACTACCTCACCACCCAGAGGATTAAAAAGAGGAAGAAGGGAGTTTTCAGAAAGCAAACTGAGCAAACTGGAGCGTCAGCATGAATTCAGCTGGACTGAGAAATGATTGTTCAAACAGCGCTAGTTGCGCTATCTCACTTTTCTGAGTGTGCTGAGAGGACTGGAGCGGGTCTTTTTTTTAAATTGTAGAAACAGACCTTTCAAGAAAGGAGCATAAAAAAGAAAAAGAAAAATATATTTCTAGTTCATCTTGGTACATGTATGTAAATGTGCATCTGGATGTCAGGCTAACAGTGTGGATCAATACACGGGTCAAGTTAATATCTCAGCTTCTTAGACCCTGTTCAAGGACACACACACTGACTGCAGTGACATTGACTGACACAGAGAAAACACATTTGCATTTCTTTTTTACACTAATGATGCATTGTGGATAACCATATGGTTTGGCTGGTAGGGAAAGAATGAGGGAGACACATCAGTATTAAAAAGGGACCGCAATACATTCTCCTTTGATGAGTATGTCTTTATTTTTTATGCATCTGCACTATCTTCATCATCGTGGTGTCCCCGGTTTGATCTCCAGCTCATTTTCTAGGCCACCTTCAGGCTTGGCAACCATTGTCCACTGTGTGGGAAAACAGCAATTATGATATCATTAGAGAAGAAACTGGTACCTACAAAGCACAGGACCCAGAGGGGGCCAGCAGACGAATCTTAGTAGTAAAAAGCGACAGCAGAGACTTTGCTGCATTGTCAGTTGCCCCCCAATTACAATGAAACAAGACAAACAGCCATTAGAGTAGGCCATTAGGCAGTAGGGGAGAGCGCCCAGGGCCTTGTTGGGTATAGCACTTCATCAGGTTGTGAAAGTCACACAAAGCATACAAGGTATGTGGCTGAGATAAATGCCTTCCACTGTAGGAGTGAATCTGGATAGTTGCATGTTCTATTTCCCACTGTGTTACATTTTTATGACTATTAACTAGACATGAAAAATACAACCCAAGCTATACTTGGAAATACTATAGAAGAGATATATTAGATATTAAGACCTAAAAAAAAAAAGCGAAGTTCAATAGAACTGCACTATTTTAATAGCTCGGTTAAGTCCAATAGATAATTTAGTCCTCCCAGTAGGAACATCATTAAAATATTGCAGTGATTTGTGTCCTGATCTCTGCCACATCCTTACTTCTTCCCCCTCATGTTCCTGGTGTTTTTACCTTTGTTTCCAGCATGGCCATGTGTGTATCTCTCCCACAAACTGTGTGTGTCTGTGTGAGTCTGTGTAGTAAGGACATGGCAGAGAGCAGGACACAAATCACTGCAATATTTTAATAACATTCCTGCTGGGAGGACTAAATTATCTATTGGACTTAAGAGTGCTATTAAAATAGTGCAGTCCTATTGAAATTGATCACAAGTAGAGATTTTCAGCTTTTAATAAGTCTAAGAATCACAAGCCCAGTAGGTTCAGAACAAGTGCACTGAAAAGTAAACATCAGTAGATATAGTTTAGGTGGACTGGGGTACAGTTTTAAGCACCAGAAGTCCTGCTTTTATATTCCTCTGCTTTAATAGTGTTATGAGCTGTATGTGAAAACAAACACTGATAACTTCTTTGGCAGAACAGTGTCCTAATGGCCACTGAAACCCCAGTCTGAAGCCAGGTGCTTCTGTTTGGAGTTTGCATGATGCCAAATGGGCAAGTCCATTACCTGGTTTCTCTCAATATGGAGGGCCACTGTGTTTACTCGCCAGGTGCCCAGTGTATCCTGGAATAGGCTCCAGCCCATGACCCTGACCTTGAAAAGTTTAGATATGAAATGAAATAGGACGACTGACTGACTTAATAAACATCCATTCTCTCACTCCAGAGGAGTTTTTAACGACATGTATATGTGTAAGAAAAATCACTTGCATAATGTAATGTGTTCTTCTGGACATAAGGCTTCACAATAAATGTACTTATGCATTACACCAATTTTGAGAGGTAGGAGATGAACAAAATGTATTCCACTGAAAATAGCTGAACATAAATGGGTTTCATTTCTTGAAAATAAAAAATAAAAATCTTCAGGGAATCTTTAACTAATCTATGCTGAGCGTGGAGTGTCTTCAGTGTAATACAAAACTGTCACCACACCAGGGGAGGGG